CCCCAAGGCAGGGGGGCTGTAGCTGCTGGCCCTGTGCGTGAGCAAACATTGCACACTCCGCAGCAGGCCCATGCTCCCTTTGAAGATGCTGCCAGGGTCAAGGGGAGCCACGGGCTGGTGACCAGAGGGATTTCAGCGGCAGAGGAGATCACCTGGGCTGCACAGAAGGGCAGTTTGAGAAAGCAGATTAATAAAACGTGCAGAGGCACATGCCAAGGCAAAAAAAAAAAAGCTCCCTCCCCCATGCAGCTCGCCTGCACCTGTGACGCTCGTAGGTTCCTGGGGACAGAACACCTGGGAAAGCCTTGCTTAACCCCCCCCCAGATGCTCACACCTCCCTCTGCACCCCCTTCTCAGCCACCTGGGTGCCAGTCCCCGTGCCCACTGCCCACCTTGCCACGCCTCACAGGAATCCAGGGCATTGCTTCATTCCCCAGCACCCCCCTTCCTCAAGGAGGGGGGCACTGCTGCCGCCCGCTCCGGGACAAGCCGGCAGCAATCCCGGCAGGCAGCACCTACCTGCCACCGGCTCTGCTCCTCAGACCTTGTGCAGGGGCTGAGCGTCTTCTGCAAGCACGTGCTCACCCTCAACAGCGACCAGGAGAAGCTGGAAGATGAGAACGTCAGGGGCAGGCGGGATTTGAGACCTAGAAATTGCTTGGCTCGGTTCGTTCTGTACAAGGGTGGAGAATATCCCAGGGAGCGCTCAGCACATGCCTTTCCCCGCAGTTGGAAATTGGTCACAGTGTGCATAGGCAGAGTTGTTTTTGTTGTTTGGGTTTTTTTTTTCCTTTTTTTTTTTTTCATTAGCACTGTTCACACTGTTAAATGCACTCCCAGCTAGGTTGGGGCTGAGTTAGCTGTGGCTGGCAGATTAATTTCAGCCTAATACACCTTGCAGCTCCATAAGTGAGAGTACAGAAATCCTCAAGGCGCTACCTAAGTGGATTAAACGGTGAATCCAGGCCTGACATTGTAAATTATAAAAGGTAACAGCAAAGCGCCGTTGTCCATATCCCTCTCTCGTGGCTGAATTAGGTCCCTCTCCTGCCACAACACATGCTTAACCCAGGCTGGTGAAGTCAGCAGCCCCAGATGCTTGTATAAGGTTACACCAGTGATTTTGCTTCAGCTGGAGAAGAGGCAAGTGAAGGCAGAGCTTGCTGCAGGGGCTGCCAGGTGTAAGGGACAGAGTCCAGCCTTTATGTTCAATCCCAAGCAAGGAAACCACAGACAAACGGCAACAGGCTCAAAAACACTTGTAATTAATGTAAGGAAATACCAATGATGTCCTTGCTGAGCAAACAGGTTTTATGCACCCAGGAGACCAAGAATGAAAATCATGTATATAAAAAAATAATCACAGTATGTTCAAGAAAGCAGTTAATATTTAAAGCTGAGTTGGCAGACCTGAGACCTTGGGCAACTCCAGTTTTAAGGTGCTGTGGGCCTTAAAGGGTCACACCCATTGGTGGCAATCTTTGAGGTGTCCTAAACTATTTATACAAGAACAGGATGGGGCTGTACAGGGGCAAAAAAAAATCCCAAATCTCCCTCCAAAATCTCACTCTGGGGATATAGTACTTATGCTAGAGGAAGAGCAGGTTTGTGCACTCAGGCTGGAGTTTCCCAGATTACCAGGGCTCTAGGCCATCACCTAATGCCAAGGTGTTCAGGGTTGGGTACTGACCACAGCTGGCAGGGAAACAGCTCCCACCCTCCCTGTGGCACCAGAAGGGACAGGCTGGGCTGCTGGGGGAGGCTGTGAGTGGCCAATGACTGCGGGTGGTGATGCTGACCCCCCGGTCAGGCAGCCTTGGACTTTGCCACCACAGGAAGCTGTGACAGCTGATGTTGGGCAAGGATAAAAAACCCAGCCCCATCCCCTCTGCTGCCCCAGGAACGTGAGCCTCTGCCACTGGCGGCCTTAGGTCTGCCAAGGGTGGGCTGCTTACCACACCAGGACAGAGGACATGGATAATTCGGGTTTGGGCAGAGCTCCTGATGTCCTTGGTGTTGCAACCCTGCCCTTATCTTTGTATGGAGTCCGACCACTCTGTGCTCCTCTCCAAGCCCCTTTCTAAATCTGGGCTGTGCTCATGTGTCCACCTATTTTTTTTTAAGCCTCTTTTTGCCCTTTTTTGGTTTTTTTTTCTAAATAGCCACACAGCTCGCGTGAGCTCCTTTTGCGAGGAGATGAACAGGGCAGATGTGCCCGCGCACGCCCTGAGCAAATCCCAGGAAGCCACAGCCAGGCTGAACAGAGCTACATACATCCTGCCAGATCTCTTGGGGTCTCCTCTTGGGGAGAAATCCCATGGAAATGGCCTTGCACCCTCCCACAGTAACCATGTTGGCCTGTTTTTGTTCACAATCCTTGGTCCTTTCCTGGCAGAAGCCATCACAGTCCCACTGAGGTCAGTCCAGAGCCAGATGAGCACCCAAGGAGCTACACCAGCCTCTGAGGATCTCACTGGCCAACTGGTCAGTTGCCAAGTGGAAAATATATTTTTTTTAATTGTTTCAACCTTTCCCTGAGGACTTACGAGTTTTTCATGTGTGAGGCAGCCACCACTCCAGCTCCTCCCTAACCTCTCCTCTTATCTCTCGGGCTTAACAGCACAAATCCTTTTGAATTCATGATCAGAGCTACTCCTTCCCATAGCTCTGCCTGGCACCACTAGGACAAGCAGATGTTTTGTGGCCCATGGCTGCTCCCTCCCCATATCAGTTTGGTTTTTGGCATAGTGACCAGCCAATGTGCCCAGGCTGTGACCAAAGGAAAGTGAGTGTGCATCCCAAGGGGCTGTGCTTGGCCCCATCCCAGAGCCACCCCCACAGCTGGCACAGAACAGGCACTGCCAAGCCATCCTGCAGCAGAGCACAAGTCCACACACCCCAAAAAGAAAGCATCACCCAAAGGGCAACATCTCCTCATTGTCACCAGGATGACGTGCATCCCAGGAGCACCACAGGGACAAGCACAACCACCCACTGCTGTTCAACGCAACAGTTTCAACCGTGGAGTGACAAGACAAGGGGGAATGGCTTCAAACACCGAAGGGTTAGATTAGATCTGAGGAAGAAATTCTTCAGTCTGAGGGTTGTGAGGCACTGGAACAGTTTGCCCAGAGAAGCTGTGGCTGCCCCATCCCTGGAAGTGTTCAAGGCCAGGCTGGGTGGGTGAAACGAGATGATCTTTACAGATCCTTCCAACCCAAATCATTCTATGATTCTGTGAACTAATGCAGCGTGACAGGACGTGACCCTCCCAGGGCACATGTGTGTGCATGGGCAGTTCAGGTGTGATCTCTGACACGCTTTCACAAATCTCTGTTGTGTCCCTCCTGGCTTGTTACAGTACCAGTTGTCCTCCTCACACAGGGCAGCCCAGCCATGCACAAGGAAACGAGGTCCCCTGCTTGGGGTGACAGAGTGTGCCGGTGCCAGGGGCCCAGGACTGTCCCCCTGGAGTGCCCAGCACCAGCCCCACAATTAATTTGGAGTTGTCCCTGTACTAACTGCCACTGTGGAGTCACAAGCCCGATGCTGAGAAGCAGAGCCCTGTTCCTGCTGCGAACAGCTCCACATTCCTGATTTGACAGCGCCACCTCGTGAGGTGGCCCCGCTCCTGGGGACACTGTGGGACACTGTCCGGCCCCAGCGCTGCCTGTGCCCACCGCAGGTACCCTCCTCTGCACAGAGGCGATTCCAGGGATGCTGCACACCCTTACGTGCATGGAGGTGACAGTAACAGGGACTGCAGCCACAGCGACAGAATGGGACATGATGCTCAACATAACACAACTGTGTTTTGTCAGTGGCCAGAGCAAGAAAGCTCAGGACGTTCTAGGGATGTAATGTTGGCAGAGTCTATCCCACAGTGCAGGAGAGGCCACAAAAACTCTGCTCCACACACTCCACAGGAACAGAACCCTTCCCACTCCCACTGACAGTGCAGAGCCACAGACCAACAGACTTCTGCTACAGGGCACATCAGAGACCCCAGGCACGACAATGCCCAAAACCTGGAGGGCAGTGGCAGCCCTGCCAGGCCTGACACCATGGCATTACAGACAGCAAGATCAAATACACACCTGGGGAGCAGATTCCTCCTCCTGGAAGGGAAACTGGTCACTGCTGCTCTAAGAGGAGTTCCTTCTTTCTTTCTTTCCCTTCTTCCCGCTGGAGGATCTCCAAGGTTGGGCCTCAGTCCCAGACCTGATGAAGCAAGACAACTTGGTCTGTCCAGGGCAGGCATAGTGGAGTCTCCTATGAAATTTCATCATGACCTAAGCAGATGTGCTGACAGCAACCACACACAGCACCAAGGTGCTGACAGGGACCTGGTTTGAAGGCAAGAAGTTTGCCCAAGCAGAGAGAGGGAAAAGGTTTCATTTCAGGACTGCCCAGGTGTGTTTTCAGGGCTGGCCATTAAAAAAGTGACATTTCAAAGAATCACAGAATGGATAAACACAGAAATCACAGAAGGGACCACCAGAAGTCTTCTCGTCCAACCTCTCTGCTCAAACAGGATCCTCTAGAGCACAGTACTCAGGATTGAGTCTAGATGGTTCTTGAATATCTCCAGATATTGAGGGAGATATTGAGGGAGACTCCCTAACCTCTCTGGACAACCTGTTCCAGCGCTCAGTCACCATCACAGTAAAGAAGGTTTTCCTAACATTCAGGTGGGACTTCCTCTGTTCCAATTTTTACTCACCCTACTGCTCAGCACCACTGAGAAGAGCCTGGCTCCATCCTCTTGACATCCTTCAGGCACATACAGGCATTGATAAGATCCTCACTCAGTCTTTTCCTCACCAGGCTAAGCAGGCCTGGGAGCACAACCAAGAGGGAGATGCTGAAAGCCCTGGGGTTCCCAAGAGCCCTGCAGCTCCACCAAGAAGGTGCCAGGACAAGGGTGTCACAATCAGCACGGCAGTTTGGAACACACCCCCGGAACACAGCAGGATGATGACCACTGGTGAGTTACTGGAGGATTTGCTGGAGGCTTCAGCCCTCTAAACGCTCCCCAGAGAGGACAGTGGGGGGAAAAAGCAGTATTGGGCTTCTGAAATAAGAGCCCTCCCTGTAACACAGCTGTGCCTTCACAAAAGTGGACATTTTGTGCCAGCCCACCCCCTTGCATCCAGATCTTTCAGACACGAATAAAACTTCACAGGATAGTGCGAGGTGTTTGGCACTAACTGACACTTGCTTTGATGTCTTGGGTGGATGGAGTGGGGGCTGCAGTGACTGACACCCTGTCCAGAGTCACAACCCGTCCCCAGTCTGGTGGTGCTTGCTAATTTGGCAGAATTTGTTCCAAGAACCAGAGCAAGAGGGCACCAAGGCAGTGGGGCTGGAGCAGCAGCACCAGAGCACAGCACACAGTTCCCCTCCATGATAGCAGGGTTATATGTGGATAAGGCAGAGGAGCACAGCTTGTCCCCTCCAGTCACGGCATGTCCCTTCTCCTGCCCTACGGATGCCAGCACATTTGTGCCCAGCCTCTATGGACTGTGTACCTTTGCTATTTAGGAAGCTGGCATTCAAACTTCCCAGCTCCTGCATGCCGCTGAACCTGGTGCTTTCCAAACAGCCTGTGCCACACATCCCAGGGCACGTGGGTGCACCGGGACCCAGATTTCATGGACTGTCCAAATCCTCCTGCGTGTGCACAGTTCAAGTTGTACCACATACCCCTAAAGCTGTCCCTCTCAAAACTCCTCCTTTGGCTCACCTTGTGTGGCAACACAAAGCCCAGATAACTTTCTCTTCTCCCCCTCTAGCGGCCATAGCCTCCACGGACATGGGGCTTCTGCTGAGAGATGATGTTTTTGTTGACTTTTTCAACACGTTTCTGAATCTTCCCGTAAGTCCACTCTGCACCATAAAGCCCGGGACCTTTCTGAGCTCTCTTCAGGTGAACTCAGACTCTGTGGTGTTAAGAGACCCTGGGAGAATTGGGAATGCACCACACTCAGGCTGGAAAATGAGGGAAAACTGAGGATCTCAACTTGGGAGACAGAGGTCTAACAGGGAATTGGATGCCCTTCTTTGCGGTGGGAACTAACTAGAACAGCTGGGCTCTGGTCGCCCCTGCCACCCTCCATCTCTTTCAGCTCTCCACTTTCATTTTGACACAGGTTTTTGGCCAGACACCCATTTACATCAGTGGCACGGGCCAGTGGGACCTCTGGCCAGAGCTGTCGAGCCACCTGGTGAGAACATGCCCCTTGCGAGGAGGGTGAGGAGGAGGGAGAAAGGTCACAGGGCAGGGGAGGGAAGGACCTGTTTTCTCATTGCCAGGGCCCCTCTCTGTCTCTCCTGTTCGTGCAGCTGGGGGATTATTTCAAACCCGGGCGTCATTTTGCTTTTAAGCCCTGGGAGGAGCACAAGCCATTTAAAGTCCTGCTGCAGCTTCTGGGGTCCATCCAGCTCTCGGTAAACAGCGAAAGCTGGAGTTAAGGAGAGCATATGGGGTGGCAAAGAAGGAGGACATAAATATCAGCCCCTTGTCCTCCTGAATTCAACAGGAGTGAAACCCTGTTGATCACCAAGCTGACTTCGCCCTTCCCACGGGCATCCCCCTTCCCCACAACCACGGCAGCGCTCAGATCCCGCAAGCAAAAGGGAACCTGCTGCTCCCACAGCTGCCGGGAAGCTGCCATGCCTCCCCGCCTGGGCTCTGGGGAGGCAGGCAGGCTGCGAGGAGAGGCAGCCTCGGAGGCAGCCCCGCAGCCCCGGGGCTCCCAGGTCTGTAGGCAAAGCTCGTGGGGACACAAGCAGGGGCTGTAACTCGAGTATCCCCCTTCTCCTCCAGCACCAGGATGGCTTTCATCGCCGTATAGCAACAGGGTGCCTTCCCCACCTCCTCCCCCTGTAGCAGGGACCCGTTACTCACCCTAATCCCCAGGCAGGAGACGGCTCCTTGCTCACAGCTAATCCTCTCCCCGGGCACGGGGCTTGCAACGCAGGATCCCAGCCCCACGGCTTTACTGGCTTGGTTGGAAAAGCACCGGCTGCCTCACTTCTGCAAATCCAGCCTGTGCCTCCACCTCGTCCTCTGCCAGAAGCTCCTGGGTTTCATTCGGTCGGGGGAAGCAGGTGAGTCATCGCGGCACGGAGGAAATCGGATCGGCTTCGCCGCCGCCGCTGGGCTTCCTCCCTCCAGGGCTGTCACTGCCTGGTGCCTGCCCAGTGGGTCGTGCCTCTGCTCCGGGTTAAAAAGGCGTTGCACGCCCCATTTTTAGGGATGCAGCAGATCCCGGGGTTTCCATGGGATGCGCAGGGCTTTACTCCGCCACCCGGGTTAATACAGGCTCGCTGTGGAGTTGAACTGAAGTAGCTGCTTAGCAGTGTTTACCATGGAGTCCATGGCTGGAGCAGGGATGGAGGGCATCCTGGGGCGTGGGAAACTGAGGTGCTGAAGTGTCAGGTTTGCTGCTGTGCAGGGTGCTCTGGGACAACAGGCCGTGGTCTCTCTTAGCAGCAAGAAGTCTGAATTGTGCTCACTTTACCCCTAAAATGAGCCATCTCAGTCCAGCCAAGTCTTTTGCCACTGGAAAGAAAGCTATGGCAGCAGGAAAGCAGATTCTCTTTTCAAAAAAATAAGCAATTTAATAAGGCTTTTCTTGAATATATCGCTGCTGTTGCTCCGGTCAGGTTGAAATTCAAAGCTGGAGGAAGTTAAGGGCAAGCACGAAACTCAAGCAAAAAAGATGGATGTTTGGAAGGGGAGGAGGCACCATAGCTGGACAGACTGTCCTGGACAGGAGCAGGTTGTCCTGGCACACACCACATGTGCATCCCACAGCCTGTTTGAAACTCCCAGTTCAGGGTGATTTGCTGTTCTTCTGGCTCCTCCTGCAGGAGGGTTCCAATGGGGGTGCCATTGGGGGCTGAGGGACTTTCTTGGGATCGCTCCTGCATGCAGCCCTTGATGCCATGCTCTGCAATCTCTCCAACAGCAGAACTCCTGAACTGGCAAAGCGCTGACCAGTGGCTGCTGGAGAAGTGCATCAGCGGGAGCCAGGGCATGCGGCACTTCCGAGCCTTTGTCCAAGGAACAGCAGGTGGGCATGGGATGCTCCACAGCCCCTTCTCAGCCAGCCGTGGGTCACCTGCCCACTGGGACACTGGCACAGAGCTGGGGGCATGGATAAGCACCAGTGGGACAGGAGACACTGTGAGAGCTTTGGAAGGTGAGCCAGCAGCAGAGCTGTGAGGGAGATGCATAACCCTGGCTCCTGTCTACCCTGTTCCCTCAGTTCATCCAGGAGTTCTTCCCTTCTCTTTTTTTTAAAAATTATAAACTGCTCCATCCATCCTTGGGGCTTTCAGGGAGTCCCTCCAACTCCCAACCCTTGGCTGATCCACAGGGGAAGAATTGACCGACTTCTGGCTCACCACCGAAAGGCTCCTGGGTCTGGATGAGTCAGATACGAGTCAGAGGGACCTCTACCTGTCCTTGATCCACAGGCTGAAAGCCTCTCACCTGCGTGAAGGTTCCAGTGTCATCACCCTCTGCACGACCATCGCTGGTAAGAAACATCAGAGCTGGGGATGAGCAGTGCCTTTCCAGGGAGGTGGTTTTTCCTGGATGCTCCCAGGGAGATGAGATACCATCACCCGCTTTATTTGGCTGGGGAACAGTCTACATGGAGCCATCTCCCCACTGTAATTCCCCACATCTGTTTCAGGATCACTGCCAAAAGCCAAGCACATCCAGTCCATCAGCAATAGAAGAGACATCCTAAGAAAGATGCAGGAGCAGGTCCTCTTTACGATTCAGAGTTACTGGCTCCCTAAATTCTTCAGCCATTGCAAGATGGGAATAGAAGAAGAGGAATCATGCCAGCCTTTGCTGCAGGAATATCAGGAGCGTTTATTACAGGCTGACTGGCAGGAGCCCTCAGGCTTTTTGGAGACCCCCCCCACGATGCATATCAAAAGGAGCCAGCGCTTGTCAGGGCCCTACTGTGGCCAGAAGGCCAAAACAAAGATCTGGGCTCTGGTCAAGGAGAGAAGAGGCACCCAAGAAATGAAGATGCCCCGTTTTCGGGTGAAACCAGAAAGGCAGCCAGGGTCAGCTAGGAGCACAAGGGAACCGCATCTGGATAAAGATGCTTTGGGATCAATTCCTCAGCAGTCAGAGCATCCTGCAAATGCTGCCTTTAATGGCAAAGGGGGAGTAACTCCTCCCAGAAGACCTAGTGCAGAGCAGATCAGTCATCTGGAAGACCTCTGTGAGGAAAAAATCCTCTCTAACCTGCCTTCCTCTGCACCTCTTGTCCAGCTGCCCTCCCTGAAAGGATCGGCCAAGACCTTGAGTTTCCTTCCCTGGGCCCTTAGTGCTGACACCTGTGCCGGACAACCCTTCAGAGACTTCTTGAAGCACCAGGACCGGCCCATGGAGACTCATCTCCTGGACCTGTGGCACGACCTGGAGGAATTTCTGCCCGTGGTGCTGGACTCCAGCAGAGAAAACAACTTCTTCCTCCGTCATTTGACCGGGGATAAGATATGCAAGTCCTACCTGGAGGAGGACAACATTGAGAAGCTTCCCTTGGAGACCAGGACTCTCACGGGTTTGTGGAACCATCTGATATTTGGAGAATTCTCCCCCTGGATATTCAGAGCCCAGAAGGAGATTTGCAAGGTACAAAGGGGTGCTGGCAGTGGTCAGGCTGGGGGGTACAGCTGGCATTGTCATCCCTGCAGTGAGAAGAGGTATTCGAAAAATTAAGAGGAAAAGAGATTAGGAAGGGAAAAACTTAGTCACAAGTCATCTTGCACTGGAACCAGTGACCAAGATGCACCAGGCCACTGGAGAGGAGCATCCTCACTGGTTTGTTGGGCAGCAGAGCAGAGGTGAGCAGTCACTGAATGTCTCTGGTAACCCTGGCTGTTAGATGCACATTCCAAGGGCCAGGGAATGACAGGGTAGTGGCCATCCTTTCACTTCTGAGTCACTGATTCTAGCACAACACAGGTAAAACATATTTAGAACCCAAGCCCTTCTGGGCAGCCCCTGAGCAGCCCAGTGGACCAGCCTGGGTGTACAGTTCCTGGCAGACATTACAGCGAGGTGTAATCCACCCATGGCACCACCACTGTGACCTTAGGGTACCGTGGGGCTGGGGGCTGGTGATTGCTGCTGGAACACTGATTGAGGACAACCCACCTTTGCTTCTCCTTAGGTGCTCTGCTGCTTCTATGAGGAATTTCTGGCTGCTGATGATAGGACGTTCCTCCAGTTTATGGTAAGGGGGATGCACAGGGCACACAGTCATCCTTGTGGGGTGTGCAGGCACCAGTGGGGATGGAAAAGGTGGGAGAGAGAGAGAAGAAGGAGAAGCCCAGCATTAACTGCTGTGGTCCATCATCCCACAATGACCTGAGCCAACGCCACCTTGGGATGATGCAGCAGATCCTGCTCTGCTCCAGCTGCCTGGAGCAGTGATCCTCAGCTCTTCCACCACAGCATCCCGTAAGTCAGCAGCACTGCAGGCACACTCTGCAAGAGCTCCCCTGAGACAGGCTGTGACCCAGCCTAAAAGCAGGGAGAAACGTAATCACAGTCTTTCAGGGTAGGCAGGGGTGAAACCAGCACTTCTGGGAATTAATTCCCCCTCCTTTTTCCCTTGCCCACAGCAGTTACTGCTGTTAATGTAACTCATGTGCAGACACACGGGCCTGGGCCAGCACAGGGGGGAAGAGAGAGGGTATGAAAGACTTTTAGCCTATGATTCAACCACCCTCAAGTTTTCCACATTTTTTTTTCCCGCTGTGTAAAGGGATGATTTAGGAAATCAGAGTCACACAAGCACTCTTCCCAGACTATTATTCCTCCTAGCAGAGGAAATCCCTCTAATACCTACCCCAAATGCTAACCTTACACCCAGAAACCTTGCAGACAGAACCCCCCAAGCATCCCACCTGCTTGGGTGCCTGCATGACCTGTGCAGGCAGTTTTGTCACTGCAGATGGTGTTTTTCAAACCAACTGTTTTCCCCAAAATGAACTCTCTAATCGGCAGCTGATTCTGGAAGTGTTAAGGAGAGGCTCTCGGGGCTGGTGTCCTCAAAGACCTGGCTCACAGTTTCAGTCAGTGAGAGCTGAGCATTTTGGAAAAGGCATTAAGTACTCTTGGTTGGAAGTTAATTAGCTGCCCAGGATTTTAAGCATCTCTTGTCAAGGAAATTAGCCTCGGAGGACAGACCTGGTCTGGGAGTGCAATTAGCACGTCAGCAGGCGTGGAGGCCCTGCTCTCCACGGGCACCATCCCCCGAGCCAAACTCCTCCTGGGTCTCGCTGCACTGGTGTCAGGGGAACTGCTGGGGGCTTAGCAGGATTATTTTTGGTGCTTGCTCTCAGCAGTGTGTATCTCAGCCAGAAACCAGCTACTCTGAGCCTGCTGCTTGGCGAGTCATGCAAACTGTTTGCCTGTGGGGAAAGACAAAACCTGCAGGAGGGTCTTCAGGGGAATGAGGGAGGCACTCCCAGGGCACCAGCCAGAGCCAGCCTCAGGGACAGCAGCCAACAAAATGGCACAGGAGGTTACCAGCCTGCTGGGGACACCTTCAGGGCTGTTTTCAGCCCTCCTGTGTGGACTTGGACTTGGAGTTGCAAGCCCTTGTCTGGACTCCTTGGGGGAACCTGCTGCCTGCCCCCAGTACCTCCCAGCTGGAGGCAGATGTGAGCCAGATTTAAGCAGCTGCTTAGGTAGTTTAAGGTCTATGCTGAGCTTTGTGCTCATGTAGGTTTCTTCTAGACCGTTTAAAGCTGAAGCAGAGATCCAAATCGGGTAGCTCTGTACTCTAAGGCACAGTAAACCACGTGGGCACAGAGTGGGAGATGTGGAACATGCTCTGTGCAATCACCCTGCCCTCTTCTCGCCATAGTCTCCAGGTGGTGATGTCGCAGTGCCTGAGATGCAAGGCCACACTGCTGACAGGAGTGAATGTTTCCTCCTGTCCCAGAGGATAAACCAGACCTTGAAGCTGTGCCAGACCTTGCATGGCACAAGGAACTTGGAAGGTGTCTCCTCCGAGTACTGGCAATTACTTGCTTCTCGGGACCTCCGGAAAGGGGGCTCCACTCAGGCAGAGATGGAACTTCTCCTGTGCAGCCCAGGTAAGAAGAGGCTCTGAATTTCTGTTGGCTCGTTTTGGCTCAATCTGGTAAAGCATATTTTATGCACCTGCAGTGACCAATGCCCCTAGACGGGCCATGGATATCGTGGAGTGGGTTGGGACAGGGTATCTGGGAGCCTTCAGCTGTAATCCAAGCTTTGGCAGCAATCTGTGGGCCAGATTCCCTCCTACCAGTACCAGAGGCACCAAATGCCGCATCCCCTGCTCTGGGTCACCAGATCAAATGGAGGCTGCAGCAAAGTGACTGAAATCCAAACCCAGCAATAGCTACTGCCACCCCACTTTCACATCCTGACCTTCTCCTGAGGATGCTGGGGCTGGCCTTGCTGGTGGTACTGGTGTCATACCTCAGCTTTGTCATGACAAAAGTAACTGACATGGGATCTGTCCCCTCTTCTCTCTCTGATGCAGACTTCCAGAAGATGATGTCAGAGGAGCTGGCTGTGGATAGCCCAAGCAAGGATGATGAGCTTGTGCATCTCCTAAGTGCATTACTTGGTGAGTCCAGTCCAAACAGACAAAAAGCAGGGTGGGCTCTGCCATCACATCCTGGCAGGTGCTCCAAAATGCTGTGAGGGGACTGGACAAGCGGGAGTCTTCCCTGCTTGCATCCCATCACCTGGTAGAACATCTCCAGAAGGAGAGAAAGGCCTATCGACCCTTGACAGTCGTGTGTTTTGGGGCATTAATCCAGCCAGAGAGGGTGGGAGTGGGGAGACTTCTCAGAAGCAGATGCCAAGGAGGTCAAACTATGAGAGGTGAAGAGTCCCCACAGTATCCAGTGTCTCCTGAGCCAGACTCACCACTCAGACACCAGCATGGGAGCTCCAGGTCCTTCACCCTGAGGACAGCTGGGAGCAGGCTCTGGCTGTCACCTGAGGAAGAGGCCATCCCTGTTCTGTCCCCACAGCTGCTGGACCCGAGGGGAGTGTTGGAGCGATGAAGCTCCCCACTGCTGCAGTAAAGAAGCGAGCTAAAAGACACAGGTCAGGCACTTTGCAGCACAGGGCTTTGCTAGTTTTTTATTACTTCCACTCTTTCAGGAAGCATATTTTCCCTAGTGTTTTCCAGTAGTGCCATTGCTCCCTGTTTTGTCATTTAGCCCTCTCAGATGGGTGGCCTGTGGGTCTGAACTGCAGAGTTACCAGGGAAAGGAGAAATATTAACACCCCCACAGTTCAGATTTACTCCTCACATCTTGTGTATGTCTCATGCACTTCATCCTCCATCAATCCCTGAAAAGCCACCTGGGCAATGCTCAGATTCCTAGAAAAATCACTTAAAATCACCCTGTAGCCACATATAAATCTCTGTATTCGTGTCACCTCCTGGGAATACTCCAGCCACGAGCCCTCACATCTCCACTCTGGGATTTAAAGCAAATGGAAAAACGGTGGTGAGCGCCTGAGTCGAGCTGGTTCCTCAAGCCCAGTGGTTCTGCAAATGCACCCTTTCCAAATCCATCCCACTCCAAGGGGCCAGACAGCAACTGCTAAAAATGCATTTCCCTATGAACTATCAGCTAGTGCATCGAAATTCCATCCAGACTCTCAACCTAGCACAACTACCAAATCACCTCTCGGCTTGCAGGGTGCTGGACTGGAGGAGGAAACACTGCAGATAAGCAGGACAGACACTCTCAAGGCTGCTACATCCAAGAATAGAGCCCAGGGGAGGGGAGGGGATCTAGCACCCTGCACCATTGTCCAACCTCCTTAGGAACAGAAATCCAGTGGGACCCCAACCCCAGGGCTATCCCTATCGGCTGCTCCCTGCCTTAGCCACCATTCCACCAAACCAGTGCCTTATGCATCCGGCTGCCCTTGATGTTCTGTCTCTCTGCTCTCCCGTCTGGCAGGGTTAAGCAGCAGCAGCAGGACCGGCAGCAGGAGGAGCAGGAGGAGGAGCAGCTGCAGGAGCTGCTTGCCTTGAGCAAAAAGCCGAAGTCCAGGCGTCGTGTGCAGAGAACCACCACTGTCCGGCGTGAGGCACAGAACATCAAAACACGGAAACTCAAAGGAGAGAACCTCGAGACAGAGAACCTCGAGACAGAGAACCTTGAGGCAGAAAACCTCGAGGAAGAGAACCTCGAGGAAGAGAGGATGGTAAGGAAGGACCCTGTCTGCTGGCCAGCTGGGGGCATTTTCCAAGCAAGAAAGAGAGGAGATGCTGTGGGCCAAGTGGTGTCACATAAAAGGGGTGGGGGGGTCAAACTTGGAGAGTTGCAAAAAGGTGACAGGTAAAGACTCCCTCCTACAGGCTCTGGAGTCCTACTCCATGCAGACTTCACCAAATTTGGTTAGGAGTGGCCAAGCAATTCACCCTATCACCTGTGGCCACTAGTGAAACCGAGAAATGCTGGAAAGCAGAGATGATGGATAGATGGATCACAAATCCCATTGCCAAGGCTGGGCTCTGCTGCTCCAGCTCAGGTCCAAACAGGAGGGCTCTGTCCAGGAGCAACCTTAATGCTGCAGCTCCCTGGCTCATGCCAGCTGTGCTGTGTCTCCACAGCAGTGGGCCTGGGATGCCATTCGTGAACTCGTCAGGAGCTTCTGCAAGTTCCAGAGGGAGATGGAAAATGACGAACGCCGTGTGGAGTTTGAGAACTTTCTCTGTTGGGAACGAAGAAACCAGAGGGAAAGTATGTCTAGACTCCTGCCACTCCTTCTCCTCCCTCCCCAAGACAGTCCCGAATTTAGGTAGAGAAGTAATTGGAGGAAACCTGTGGCTTATCCCCCACCCCCATGACTCAGTTTTCTCTGCTGGAGTTATATAAAGAGCCATAAAATCGGGTATCTCAGGATGCCAGATGTTGCTGTGAACACTTAGATGTAGAGAGTTTTGCACAGAAAAGGTGCACACACACACTTTGATGCAATATCTGGCTTTCTGATGTAGGCGCCCCATTATGCTGTTGCATCTGTCTCAAACAATATTGTATATGCAGGTTTGCATCCCTTCCACAAAAAAAACAGGAAACACTAAATGGAGCTAAGGTGAGACAGGAAGAAATTGTTTTCTGGGCAACAGGGAACTGACCTACGGTGTTTTGCCAAAGGGGGTAGATCTTGAAGGTTTACATGCAGGTTTGAGAAGAGGCTGGAAAAGCAGTTAGAAAAGAAAACCACAGAAATTGCTCAACACACAGAAATCCCATTTAGATCAAGAGAATTTTGTCCTTGGGGAAAGTAGCACAGATTTTTTTTACCTTTCCTTCTCCCTTGTTATCTGCTTGTGGCCTCTGTCAGAACCAGGGTAACAGCTACACAGACCAGCAGGCTTTAGATATAATGTACTGTGGCCGTTCCTGGGGGAAACAATGAACATAAACACTCTGTGGGTGCAAAGAGGAGAGTGGATGGTTATCAAGCTAGAGGGAAGGCTGCACACCAGATGGTCTGGATTCCCTGGAAAGCCTGGCTGCACAAAAGCTGTAGTCCACATAGGTAGAAAGACCCTCAGCAAATTAACTGCACAAAGGCAAAGGAAGCACAGGCGAAGTGAAGAAGCAGGGTATAGCTCAGCACCAGGTGGCCACTTTCCTCACACCCAGGAGCAGGACACAACAGCTCTTCTCCTCTCTCAGACTTGCCTGTGAGCTCAAAGCAGAGCAAGAGGCCCGCGAGTACCTCCCGCAAGGGCAAAGCCCGCCTGGAAAACGTGGTGCTGGTGAAACGCTGCATATTTGACAAAGAGGTCATTGTCGTCAACTTCCTCGTGGACGACCTCCACTTTTACCTGGAGATGGACAAGTAAGTTCCCTTTCCACCAGGTGGTCAGGTACCACCACAGAATCGTAGAATGTTTGGGTTAGAAGGGACCTTGAAGATCATCTCGTTCCAACTCCCCTGCCATGGGCAGGGACACCTTCCACTAAACAAGGTTGCTCAGAGCCCCATCCAACCTGGCCTTGGCATCAGTCTCCCTTGGCTCTGGTCCAGACCCATCTTACAGGTAGTACCCATCTCTGATGGAGACCTCCAAAGCCCCTGTTTCAACATGAAATCATCCCCTGGCTCAGGGTTCCTGTTTGGGTATCCTAGAAGTATTTGTGGTTTGATAGTCCCAAGCAATCTAACATTTTGCCTACACCTTTCTTGATGTGCCAGTTGTGGTGGCATTTCTCCCTTGACTTTGTCCAGTTCCCCAACAAACCTGTAGGAGCAATCCATGGCCAACATACCCTAGCCCGGCAGCCAATACACCCCCACAGGCTTTCAACTTCCTCTTTTCCCAAAAAAAGGAAACATCACCTCCCCCAGGTGAATGCTATGATGTTGAGGGTGGTAGAAGAGGGAAGTAGCTTTTCATACCTCCTGTTTCTCTGTTCCACACCTTGTGGATTGCTTTTTCTGGCCTAGCAAACACTAAATTAAGCAAGAGCATGGCTGTCTAGCCCAGCAGTTAACAGCATTTGTCTCAGAGCAGGACCCCACATGCCTTTGCAGGTTTTCTCGGCTGGCTGATGCAGTGGAAGCTCTGGCAGCCTGCAACATAGTGTCAGAAAGGAAAATTGCTTTTCTTAAAAAGAAAGTTGCTGTCATCAACAAGCTCTTCCTAGACTCTGATATGCCCCCGAAGCTGCGGGTGAGAGCCTGGAACCTGCCCAGGAAGGCTGAAGGCTGCTCATTGCTCAAGACCATGGCATTGCAGCTGGGAAGGGTTGTGGGGAAAGAGGAACCAGGCAGAGGTCTGGATCTGCTCCAGCAAGGCATGCTGTGAGGCTTCAGGGCATGCTCTGGAGCTTGGGACTTCCACATGGGCTGCAAGGGGTGGGAAGTGATCCAGTACCAGACCCACACTAGCACTTGACCCAGATAGATTGAGAACAAGAACGTGGACAGGGAAATGGAGGGATCCCTTACCTGCTGGAGAAATGCCGGAGCTGAAGCACCAGGATGAGTGCTGCACACCACCCCCCAGTCCCTTCACTCTCCAGAGGTCGTCACCATCATGCCCTCCCCATTGCATCCATCCTCTCCCCTTGCAGTAGCCACAGCTCTGCCTATGTCCCTCTTGGACAGCACAGCACAATGCTTTCCACAGAAATCCAGGCGGGATCCTGCCCGTGTGGCTGGGGCAGTCAGCCAGGATGTAACTGGGGTCTCTGTTCTTAGAGACTGCTGAAATGCAAGGGGGGGTCAGGGAGAGAAACCTGCCTCCAGGGCCCATCAGGCGTGCTGCAAACTGCTTTGGTCTCTTCTGTGCCCAGGTGAACATCTCTGAAAAAGAGAGAGAATTGATCTGGCGTTTATCTTCCAAGGGGCCACTGACCCGTGCCATCTACCACAAGGCCAAGGCCACCATTGTCCCCATCCTGATGTACTTCTGGAAAAGGTACCTACCTGTTCCCTGTCTCTCAAGGTGGAGGAGGCTCTGTGGATTCCAGCCTTTTTCCTCCAGCCACCTGTCACTCTGACCTGCTCAAAAAATGCAGATGAGACACTCCCCAGGAGCTCAGATATCTGCTTGGAGGTTTGCTGTCTCTGGTATTTCTCACACAGGTTCTGCATCTGGAAAGTGATGAGGAGCTTTCGGGTCTATGAGGACGACAGGAGCTTTCAGGCCTCCAAGAAGGACATGGTGCCAGTCTCTAAGAAGGACAAGGTGCCGGTCTCTGAGAAGGGCAAGGTGCCGGTCTCTGAGAAGGGCAAGG